TCGTGACCAGAGTTGCGGAACGAATTAAGTTTGTGACCCGAGGTACCACTGTACTAACTCTTTATTGCAACTACAGTGACCATGATATAAAGACAGGATTCACACACAGCTATTTGAATAAACCCCAAATAGTTGGCTTCTCACTGTATGAGAAACTATTTTAAAATTTACAATTCTGTACAACGTACAGAAATTAATTTACAAACCACAGTGATTAAGATGATGCATGTAGTAAAGCAAAGCCAGATCACATTCTGCCTTAGCCTGTATCTCAACCAGCCAGAAAGTGATAGGGAAATAGACAATCCTAGCCACACTTGTTTTATTACTCATTTTTATACTAGCCAATCCAAGATTCTGAAGTGTGTACAAACAGCACTATAAAAGAGGTCTCCAATAAAAGTGTCTCAAACAAAAACATAACAAACTCAGCTGTGGATGTGAAGTGCCTGTTTAAAATGAAAGATTTTTAGGTTCATCACCTTGAGCACTAGAAGTAACTTCAACCCCAAGCCACGAAAGTTTGTGTGTGCATATTTTTGCTGCTGTAGTATGTTAACGATAGTGTTTTATTCATGTCCCGTAAAGCCAAGACTGCTTTTTTTTTTACATGACATTCTAAATCCTAATATGTAATGCTTTAGTCAAAAGCTTTCACTAGCCACAATGACATACTTGCTTGCAGCATTGTGACACAAATACAAAAGGGATGGGTTTGCATCACAAAATCACAAGTTTTATCATGCATCCCCTCTTGCTCCTTGGCTTGTGTGTGTCAAAAGACAATTGCATGAGTAGCTGTATTACTTCCTGGTCTTACCTCTGTGCTTTGAATGGACCAATCCATAAAAAATTTAAAACAAGTAGAACTTTGTATGGAGATAAGCAGTGGCAAGAGCTTCTTTACCTGTGAAACTTGTATAGAGAAAAGATACAGGATCAGGAGCCTTTTACAAGGATGGCAATTGTAGACAACAAATATAGTGAACTGGCTCTCTAGAATATGTGACTGGACTGTTCATTCAGGCTCAAATGCTGGCCCAGTATAAGCAGTTTTCTAAGAATTGCTTTTCACATTAATTTTGATGAGCTCAATGCAGCATAAACTCATCTTGAACATGCAGTTTGAAAATATGTATCTTCATCAAGGCTACTAACTTATACCTTTATTATGGAATCAATCCCAGTGGATTCAGTGGGGTGAATTTCTGGATAAACAAATGTTAGCAGAAGCTATTTTATGGCCAATCTATAGTGATTCACATACTGTGGTTGCAGTTATAATAACCAATAATAAATTACTTCAGAATTAAGTTGAAATATGATTTAAGGAAAAAAAAAATTGCTCATTCATTTGTGTGGAGCAAAAATTTCCCAGCTGTTGCACATGACTGTTTCATACTTAGCTCCTTACAGTGCTAACTTTTTTTTTAACAAAGTGCTGAGATGCTGCTCTTACAAATTTTAGTCTAAAGGTTCTCAGTACCTTCCCTTACTATTCAGGCATCGCAGTGCTAATTACACTCCATTTTTTGCATAGCAATTATCTCAAGATAGATTCTACAACTTGAGGGGAACAGGAGGCAGATTAATTAATCCTCTGCCTGACTGCCTTGAAGAGTACATGCTGAGAGCAGATAAAAAGAAAAGTGTGTGCAAGCATTAAGACCATTCATGAAGATTAGATTCCACTTTACACTTACTGATAAGGAAATTGGATGCTGTTAGTCTCCCTTCTCTACAAATTCATTCTGCTTGTGCCTAGCAGCAATTTAGTTACTGGTGAAAAAGCAAGTTGCTCTCAAATCTCTAAACCTATTTTAATAACGGCTTTCTTACTCCCCCCCATTCTAAAACACCTAAATAATTCACTTTTAAAATTCAGATTAGTTACTTCAATAACTTTCTTTGTTTTTGGTGCTGACTCTTGGCGAGTGCCTGGACTAGTCAATGCAGCTTTCTTGGCAAGATTTCAGAAGTGGTTTGCCATTGCTTGCTTCCTAGAGCTGAGAGAGAGGGACTGGCCCAAGGTCACCCAGCTGGCTTCGTGCCTAAGGCGGGACTGGAACTCAGGGTCTCCAGCCAAGTGCCTTAACCACTACACCAAACTGGCTCTCTGTTAACTTGTTTAAGCCACTTTAAAGTTGCCAACCTGTAAGATTTACAATTTCCTAGGAATTATGATAAATTAAGGGTAGATATTTGGCTAATGATAAGTCGCATTATACATATAATTATTCCTCTTTGCGACTGATTAAAACGGGATGATTCTAATGGCTCAATTATATCCGCATAAAAATATATCAGCTCCATTGTACTGAGTTCTGGAAGTGAACAATCTCGGAATGCTGCAATTTCAATTATGAACAAAAGATCTTGCATCATGCGGAATAATGGGAGTTACTTCTAACTATGCTTTCTTAATTAAAGGCCAGCACTTGAACTAATGCCTAAGGAAGTATTCACCAATTAAAAAAAAAACAAATCTATTGCTAATAAATTAGGGGCGCTAAATGACAAGAAAGTACTTGTCTAGGTATTTGAAAGACAAGCGCTCGCCCCCTCCCCCAGGCAAAATCCCACGGCTCTTCGGCGAACTACTTACAGCCAACCAGACCGCCTGCAGACGTGTTCCAGCATTCCGATTTGGAATGTAAGCTTTACCAGCATTCTATGTAAGAGTTCTTGTCTGGATTGTGCAGTTTGGCTGCTGCACGAAGAGAGGGAGAAAACAGCACCACGTGACCCCCTCCTTCCCCAGCCCTCCCTCCGTTCCTCCGTTTATATCCAGCGGGCGCTTGCTGGCCGAATGTCTAGTTTTGTTTAGTATTTAGAAGCACTGTTTGCTACAGGGTCGCAGGTCTTCTGTTTTTTCAACGAATTTTTTTTAAAAAATGTAAGTTTGCTATCTAGCAGATTCTCCAGTCTGCTCCTCTGTATTCCCCCACTTGTTCCCGGTTTTGTTGTGCTGCTTCTGCTGATGTTCCAAACTACTAAGACGCAGAGCAGAAGAGATCCTCTCCAGCAGTCGCTTTAGGTGGCGGCGAGTTCAGCCTCCTCTGAGTGTTGCCTTTGTGTTATTGGACGGCCTCACTGAGCCAATGAGAGCGTGCCGGGAGGAGCCTCGGGCTGCGGGGGTGGGAACGGGAGCGCAGAGCGTGTGCGGAGCCGAGATTGTTTCCAGCGGGAGAGATGGGGGCCTGACTTGCGAGAAGTCTTTGCAGCACCAGTGAGGGGGTAGCGAGAGCTCGATCGACCGATCTCCGACTGGTTTGCTTTCCTTAGATCCGGATTCTTGCTCACCCGCTTTTGTGTCTCTCTGCTTCCTCCCTCGTTGCCTCTCCGCGATGCCGCCCCTTCTCGGCTCTTCCTCTGTTCCTGTGTGGCCTGGCGGCCTCTTTCCACCATGGGGTTAATCTGAAGGAGGAAAAAAAGGAAGCGCGGAGGCTCGTTCCCCTGCTCATGCCGCAGCCCCGTCGCCCCGCCGCTGGAGTCCCGGAGAGCTGCATGGACGGGCATGGGGACAGCGGCCCCTTTCTGCGCCATCGTCGCCTCTGCCGCCAAGGTTGAGGAGCAGCAACGCCGCCCCCGTCGCCAACCGCGCCCCCCGTCTCTGAGTGCCCTTGTTCTGCTGCTCAGCCTCGGGCTGCTCCTACACACAGGTATTACCGCCGCTCCCTTTCTCAGCCGGGCAGGAAGGTTCCGGGTGGTCCTACTGGGGATTTTTAATCAAATGGGCCATGAAGTTGGTGACTGGAGGGGAGGGACGCCCCGCCCGCAGCGAAGTTGTCTGAAAGGTTTGATTTGTTTTTTTATTGGGCCTCGTAAGACCTTTCATTCCCCTGGAGGTAAAACCGTGATTTCATTGGAGAATATTTAAAAGTAAACTTGAAGAAAGTCTGCCGCTGGGAGGGACGCGGAATCTGCCTCGCTGAAGTTTGGAACAATCCACTTGGAGGAAAGGGGGAGGTTGGATCACTGAAGGCTGGTTGCGTCTGTTAGAAAGTGCCTTTGTTTTGATCTGCAATCCGGGGAATCTGACACGCTCAAGGGCCTCCCGTCTGTTCAAAATGTCCCTTGCCTCTGTTTTAAAAAGTCTATCCGTGGTGCAATGTAGCGAGGAACGGCGTGGAGTTGGCTACGCTCTAGGGAGGGGGCTGCTGCGTCGGAGTTTGATTGGCACTGGGCCCTCCCTGCCCTGGTGTTTACTGAGTCGGAGCTGGGATCAGGTTTCTCTTCTCGCTGCCGATGCCTCCGCGGGGCAGGAAGAGAGCCCCGGCTCTCGTGATCTGCTGCTGCCAGTGGAGGATCTCGGGAGGAGAAAGCGAAGCGGTCTCAGTGGAAAGGCGTTCTCCCTGCCTCCGCGAGATGAACTTCAATACTGATTCTTTTTCGCGGATGGAATCCTGCTTATTTTCTAATTTAAACTGGGTTCTGACATATCTTGAGGAAGTTTGTTCCTGCAAGGTAACATTCTGTGAGAGGACAAGCCAGTCTTTTCCCAATGATATTCTGAGAGTTACAGTTCCAAAACGACTGGAGTGTACTAGGTTAAAGAAGGCTTGTGTTAACTTCACTAGGTTAGTTCAGATCTAGTTCTAAGGATGGTATTAACTTTTTCTCTCTTTCATTCCCTGTGAATAAAAATGGATTGGTTGCAGCCTTTAAATACAAAATTGATGGTGTTTCAGTAAAGATGGGGAAAAAATTCAAGAATCTTATATACAGAGCAACAGAGAAGGCTACTAATTACCTGGTATGGTTCTTGTGCTTCAGCAAGATGAAGGATGAGAGCCATGCAATAGAAAGTCATTTCAAACTCTGTGGCTATTTTCAGAAAAAATATTAAAACTTAATTTGGATTGATGAGTTATGGTTTAGCTTTGTAGTTTTTGTAGGAGGAGAGCTGTGTTAGTCTGTGGTGGCCAAAAATCAGGAGGAGTCTGGTAGCATCTTTTCAGACTAATTTATTAAAAGACATAAGCTTCCATGAACATTTGTTGACCTGAAAAGGTGCTCTTCTGATGTTTGTAGTTTGCAACCCATGGCTTATGCTTTAATTTTTTGTAGGAATACAGCCTCCCCCCGACCCCCATTTCCTGGTATTCGAGAAACATGAAGCTTAATGTTTAAGTGTTTATAGGTATTCAGATAAATTTTAGTTAGGTGTGTGTTTTCAAAAGCTGTGCAGGTGGTTTGGAGATCTTTACAGAGTATCAGGGAACAGTGCTCAACATAAATCTGGATTGTTTGTGAAAAAGAATTTTAAACTTCACCTAAATAATACTGAAGTAAAATATCTGAGGTCAAGTTACACTACTACATTGCACATATATATCTCTTTGTAACGACAGAGACACTCTTGTCAGTGTGCCTTGGCTTCTGAAAAAGTATGAAGGTCTTACCAAGTTAGAGTCTGACTTCATAAATACATTTTGCCATGGCCTTCTTTGTGAATTGAGAAATCAAATCATGCTCAAATGAGCAGGATTGGGAATACAAATTCATCCAACATTAGAACATTAAGACAGCATTAGGGGCAGTGGCTGTAGTAATACTATTCACTGTGTTGGTGAAGATCAGCATTGCTTGTGTGAGAGACTGGACATGAAATTAGATTTCTTGGTCTGTGATTTGGAGTGATGAGCAGAAGGAATATATTCTGCTTATATTAATATAAAATGAAGGTGAAGAGTATGACCTAACAATCATGAATACAGTTTGTTCTGAATAGGACTTAGGACTGAATTAATTTCTTGATATATTCTGTGATATAGTTTGGTGAGAGAATTCTTGATGTATTCTGTAGTATAGTTTGATGAGAGAAAAGCATTCAAATGTAGTTGTAGCAGCTACACAAATATTTACCTGCTGTTGCATAGTGGTTGAATTATGGGATAATAGGAGGTCTGAATAAAGTATTGCACCACAACCTCCACATCTTTCACGATTTAACCAAAGTATCCATTCACCCCATTTTAATAGGAGTATTGCTGCAATTATTTAAACATAGCTTTGTGTGATGATGATTCTTGTTTGAAATTCAAGAGTGACTTCTCTTTCTACTTTAGAAGGATGAAGTGCTAAGTTTCCATCCAGTTTTAACCTTGCAGTTGGCAGTGTTCTCTAGTTTATATGAAGGCATGTTATCAGGATGATGCAAAATACTCTGCTTCAAACTATTACTATATGATAAAATCAAGATTATTCTACTAGAGCAGATGACATTTTAATTATTCAGCTAAAAGTAGTATTTGTGTAACTTCTTACTGTGCACCCAACAGGATTTCTGAAGAATAATTTTGATCCCCCCTCTTCTTTTAAGTGATGTTCTCAAAGAGATCCTTCTGAAGTGGGAGTGATTTGTTGCAGGGTTTTTCAAGAGATTCAGCCAAATGTTTCCTCTTGCAGATAGCTAGGCATGTATTTTACTATACCCACACAGCTTACTTTGTCATTTGTTTTAAAACTATTGCTTGTCTTAACTGGCAGTGATTTTTGGAAGAGCAGAAATTAGTTTGGGAGGAATTCACTATGGGTGATTTTCACTTTGCCAGTAGTGAGTTAAGATCTGGTATGCTTGGTACACATTTCTGACAGTTCAAGTGCAATTGATCTTTTCATATTCTAAATTTAGATTGGGGACATACTCACTAGGACTTAAGTCCCTATTTAAACAGGAATGCACATCACAGTCTAAAGACAGTGTTTTTCAACCTTGGCGACTTTAAGATGCATGGACCAACTCCCAGAATTCTTCAATCTAAGACATGAAATTGGTAGTACTGATCACTTCAGTTGTAATTACAGGTAGTTCCTGGTTAACAACTGCCCTGTTTAGCAACTGTTCGAACTTAGGACAGCACTGAAAAAGTAGGTTTACGACAGTTGTAGCATCCCCACAGTTATGTGATCGCAATTTGGGTGCTTGGCAACCAGTATGCATTTACAACAGCCACAGCATCCCATGGTAACGTGATCACCATTTGTGACTTTCACAGCCAGCTTCCAACAAGCAGAATCAATGGGGAAGTCAGCAGTAAGTCACAAGTCGCAGTCACATGACATTGCACTTAATGGCCACAGGTGATTCGTTTAATGACTGCAATGGAACTGACACCGTAAGTTGGGCATGGTCACGTGATGTTTCACTTAACAACCAGGTTGCTTAGTGATGTAATTATCGGTCCCAATTGCGGTTGTTAAGTGAGTACTACCTGTACTTAAACCCAAGCAACAACCGTTCCCAAAATTATATAATAATTCTACTCCCATGGGCATTTCTGAGTTTAATCTGAGTTTGGAAACAATCACATGACTAGGGAAACCACAATTAAAAGTGGGGGGAATAGAAGTAGTAGGTGAATCAAGGGTCAAGGGAATTAGAGGAAATAGCTGAATTGAAAATAACATTGCTATCTTTGACCTGAGCCATCTTTGTTCAGTGCGCGTGTGTTCTCTCATGAGTATGTCCAAACTAGTCTTTAATATTTTGATTACAGTTTGGAAATAAACCTAATGTAAACATAATGAATTTTTCAATTTGTAAATATACTTAAAGCAACTCAACCCCAAATCAGTGCAGTACTCTTTTTGTAAGCTGCTGCATGGATCGCACATGATGTCATCAGAAGACCTATTAAATGAAGATCATTATACAGTATTCCTTTGATCATTTGTCTAGTCTGGGTAGCTATAAACTCCAAAACTGTTTTTGCATCATTACTGAATATTTCTTAGTAAATAGGCATATTGGTCAAATCTTTATTATGGTCATAGACCAGCATAAAGGCATAAGCTTAATACAGTTGGATTTTTTCTAGGCAGCATAATTAATACTGTTTTGGAAAATGGAAAGGCTTTGCATGCATGGAATATTGTTTTAGACTCTACAGAAGTCTCATGAAGGGAGTGCTAGATCATATAAAGAGATTATCTGTTCTGGATATTTGAAACTGCATTTTTATGATTGGCTGGAAACATGTAAAAAAAAAACGTGGACTATTTAAGGGGGGTGTAGCATCCTTGGTACATAGATTCACAATGAT